TGTCTTGAAGTCACAATGGTGCAATCATTTATCTATAAGGTGTTGTATATGGCTGACAATTAAGATATTTCTGAATGGTTTTGTCACTAGTCATGGCATTTGTATGAAAGTTTTGACATTGTTTGTATCCCAGTACATAGCATCTTCCCCTATAAATATAAAAAATTTAAAGACAAATGTATATAAGATGGAAAACTAATTAGTGACTGATAAAGGACTTATCCATTGATGTAATCAATCAAACATAAAACAAGGAGTAAAATGAGCAATCAAGATTAACTAGATACACCTTGTGTGTTTTTTAGGATGTTTAAAAGTAGCCAAAACAAAGGTGAAGATGACACAAAGTGGAAAATATTTTATCAAAGATGCATTTCCCTGAAGCAAAGCTTATGTTCTCCTCAGTTCAGCTAAAAGAGGAAAGACAAAACTGTGTAAGGAGATTGTCTTATGATTACTGGAGATAAGTTGATCATTGAAAATTACATTAATTACTCTAGTTTGTTTTGACTTGACACTTGAAGAGAATCTGTATATCTCTATACTTGTTTATTTTATCTGTATCAGATCCATTTGATATTATAGAATTTTAATCCAGAAACTTATTAATTTTTGTACACACATACACCCTTGTGTAAATTAATTGAAACAACCATTTTACTTTCCTTTCATTCATCATACGTTCAGTTTTAGACCCACTGGAGTGACAGGGTGTAATTGATTTCTATTTTTTCCTCAGATTAGGTCATTTGCAGTGGTAAGTAGTAATATGGATCTATTTTTGGGGTGTATGATGAAATTTGTTTGGCCTTGAAAAATATTGCATCAGATTTTCATCATGCCCAGACACTATTGTTTTGACTATTGATTAGTTGTCCTATGGCCATTGTCTGCAGTGGATTTTATTCCAAGGAACTGTACAAATATTGTAATGCTGCATGAACACACTGGCAAGCCTTACTAATGAACAAATAAAATTACTGCCTTTACCGGCTATTGAACTCACACTCTAACGCCTTTATCCACTGTGCCATGTGTCCTTGAGGATAAAGGCATTAGAGAACTTGGAGAGGGGAATTAACAGGAAATAACTGATAACTGACATCCATTAGATATGGCACATGGAACTAGAACAGTCTACCCCAGTGAGTAAAATAAATGGTTCATTTCGATATTCCAACCACCAGAAGAAGGCTGGAATGTATAATGGCGGAAACGTTTTGAGAAATACAGTGACAAAGATGAGGACAATAGTCCAAATAATGTAAATAGTGTGCTAAATGTTTAAATTTACTATTTCCAATAACTAAAATACCCTGGTGCATTTCAAACAAATTATATTGATTGGAATCTATTTTCTTTTTTTTTTCTTTTTTTCAGTAACATTATCAAAGTCATCCATTTTTGAGATATTTGTAAACACAAGTTCTTGGTTTTAAAAATCTTACAAAAAAATAAAATGTAATTTTCTAAAACTTTATTTGAGGAATATTAGATTATTTAAAGTGTAATTAGTCTGAATTGATACAAATATTAAGTTTAAAATATCACAGAAATTCATTTTATAACTTGACAGTAGCTGTGTTTTTTTGTTGTTTTTTTTTTTTCCCGACAGTAGCTGATTTGACATGTTGACTGCCTGATGACAGGTCTAATGTTGTTCTATGGAGACTTTATCTGTAAAACTTAATTTAAGAAAATGATGTGAGTGCTTTAAGAATTCGGAAATCTTAAGTTTCAGAAAATATTCTCCATAATCTAATGTTTTATTAAATTTTAGAAATTTGTCAACTTTAAATTTACTATAGTCATCACTTTTATTTTCTAATATTATGTATGGTCACCTGTACTTACAAAAATGAGCATATTTATACACACGAAAAACTCAAAATTTAAAAAAATATTAGTGTTTAAGGATTTGTATTAAGCCTTTCCATTTATGATTAGTAAATATAGTTTTCATTTAATAACAATATTATTAAAACTAAGATTAATACAGAATTTTAAAAATGAAAACACTTCTTGTAAAAATTAATTGAAAACTTTTTCCTATGACAATAATTTGTCTTAGAAAAAAGTTTTGTTTTTTTTTGTTGTTTTTTTTTTTTATTAATTTTTACAAGAATTCCTTAATATATCTTATTTAAATGCAATTAAAACCTTTTCTAATTAAATAATGTCAGTTTTATTGCATTTTTTATTTTATGATTCAGAAAAGATTTTCAGTAAATGGTGTTTCTATTTGACTAAAACAAATTGATGATTTAAATTCTCCAAAGAGTCCTACTTTTAACTAATATAAAAATGAAATTCCTGAAATTTTAATTTCTCAAAACTTTGTAAAATTAAATAAGTGGGATAACATACGTGGGTTGGGGGTAATGATTTTTACAAAGATTTTTAAAAAATATATATATATTTTTAAAATTATTTCATTCATTTGTGAATAAGTCCTGAAAATTTAATTGAAATTCAACAATTATTTGATTTTTGCAAGAATTTACAAAACAATGTTTTTTTTTTTTTACCACAATAAATACAATAAATTTCCTATAGAAATCCTTGGTCCACCACTGACACAAGAAAAACAAAATTTTATTCTCAAATGTGCTAGAAAGGATTAAAAAATTTAATTAAACAATCAAAAAATACTTTGGTCTTACCTCTTAATAATGTCATAAACATTTTGACGATAACACTGTTTTTATTAAGCTTTGTGCCTTTTTCATTTTCTCATGCTATGCTCCTTTTTTAGTGAACAAAGTGGAGCTATCTGCATTTATTCAAACAAAGCTGCACTGAAAGTACTATGACTTAGAAATTCCCCTAATTAAATATAGGACCTGGTTATTTCAATCTCTATTTCTTAATGAATTAGTAATGAAATGGTATAAGATGTTTAATCTATAAAATAACTGAGTGGAATTAGTTGATTATTTTAGAATTTAAATTTTAAGTTTAAACATTAAGCATTTAAAAACTTAACATAAATCAAGTTCTGATAGAGTAGATTTTTTTTCAAATAATGTTTTTCTGATTAGTTATACCAGATTATTAGCAAAATATATAAAGTTAATTTTTTTTCAAATTGTCTTATATATTTTCCATTTCATCCAATTTTACTTATACAGAATACATATTCTCTACCTTTTTAAAAAGGACCATATCAGACTTAAAAATATAGTACTGCTGCCATATCTGGGCAGAGGCTGTCCAGTCTTCACTTTTCAGTTTTGATAGAGTGCAGCCATGTGAGTTTTGAATTATTTTCCACACTGCAATCCCTTTCCCAGAGACAAAACATTGCAAAACTTTTACTACTCTTTGATATTTCCATGGAAAATGTTCACATGAGCAACATTCATTAGTTCCACCAACCCTAACCCTCACATTTGTCCTTCTATGTCACATATTCTGAGGTGAACCACCCTCTTTCCCTTTGTATTCAATTAGTAAAAAGGAAAAATAATTGACCAGTTTTTCCCACAAAGAATCCCAAGAGGATTTTTCTCAGCAACTACAATCATAATCTGTTCAGTTATCCATTAGTAATCAACAACACTATACCTTCAGTGGCTCTTAGGCCTTTCAAAGAAACACAATAACTGCAAAATCAAACTTTCAATAAATATATATATATATATATATATATATTTGGCATTAGGAGAAACTCCCACACAAAGTTCAATAGAATTTCTGTATTTTTTTTTTTTATTTAATAGAACATATTTAAATAAGAGATTCTTACCGAAATATATAAACCAGTTTTAAACACTTGATGGATTTATTTTTGATCTGACTCAAAAATAAATCAATTAACTCTTTAGAAATTGCTTTGTTTAAGTTTCAAAATCAAGAATAACTGAACAACAGAGTTTGTATTACTTAACGTGTAGCACTCTAGGTGACTATTTTAACCAAACAAAATGTTAGTTTGCCAATGCAAATTGAATTTGAATTTCTTTGTTGTGTAGCTATATCTTTCTATGGCAACACCTAAAACAATCTTGACTGAATTGAAAGCCTGGCTACTGCAATTTCAAATATATAGAACTAACATATAAATCACTATTGAGGGGGTTCTATATACAGTAAAAGGGGGAGTAATAGTCATAAATGATGCAGAGTTGTACTGGGAAGAGAATTTCCAAAGTCTGGCACTCAGATTATTTTGAGGAAGTTAGTAAAGGAGATGTTGGGACTAACAAACTTGATCTAGTGTGTCTTAAAGACTCTTTTTAAAGAGTGTGTCTTACTTGGCAACGCATGCAATAGAGTATGATTTGGCTTGAGAATTAGTCTTTGAGGAACTCATTGCACATTTTGTTTCAATGAAAGTTCAAAAAATGCACTTTTAAGGTGCTTTGGAACTAGTTTTAATCTTTGTAATTTTGCTCTCTACTAAATCCCTAAAGGTATTTTCTTGAAGCCCCTTTGGTTCCAGCACATTTGTACCAGCTGTACCCACCTCTCACCACCACTGATGCAAAGTGCTAAATGTTAGAATAAAAAAAATAGAAACTTTCTAGGCTTTAATGCTCTCTGAGGCCACAGTAGTATAAAGCATACTGAATCAAATCGCGATTTCTCCTACAATGAGGGATGTATGTTCAAATCTTGCAAGAAAGCATGTTTTCTTGATTTTTCTTGAGTGCTCAGGCCAGTAGATGTAATACATACAGTTTAAAATAAAAAAAAAAACAGGGTGTCTATTTCAAACATGCATCCATTAAGACTAATGTTTTAGTAGTAATAATCAAATTCTGTATAAGTTAAAACTTCTACAGTTCACAACATGCAAAGGGCATCTATCTGGAAACGGATATAGCTCTCACATTTTATAAAGCAACCTTGGTATTTACTCTAGAATAATGTAAAATCAATTACACTCAAAAAGTTATTTAATAGAAGTATAGTTTATTACAAAAGATCGTTATGATAATTGCCCATGTATCAAGGATCAGACATAGAAAAATTCTCTGAAAAAAGGATTTGAAAGTATGATGAGTGTTAGAGCAGCTGCTCATTCAGAAGAAGTGGTATAAGTGACAGGTATGTCTTAATGACATCAAGATCAGAACAGACATATTATGCATCTTGTTGATTCAGATGGCTGGCACAGAAAAAGAAAGGTTTCTCCTCTTCAACAGTAATAACTGTCATCAATGGAGAAATCTTCACTTCTGTTAGAGGCATATTTTTCGATATCCATATAATACTTTAACATTTATCATTCTGTGACTTCATTTGATATACAAAAAGTTTATCCTGCCATTGAAGGTGACTGATCCCTGTATATAAGCATGTTCGAATTTCATAGTTGTTGTCATATCCTGCTATGGCAACAGAAAACACCTTCGAGTGAAATTAACAATAAGGATACTGCAATAAAGAGGCCTTGGAAAAGAATGCAGCACTAATGGAAGTAATATTAATAATACAGTGTGCTAAAGGTTACAGATATTCAGTTGAATAATATCAACAATTTCTGACTACAATTTCTAAGATTTCACAAATTTTTTTTTTTTTTTTTTTTAATATCAGTAAAATGTAATCAGGCCATGTGCCTGATGATTACATTTAACCATATTTGTATTATTGCTTTTATTAACAAGCTATCTATATCTATAATTCTAAAAATGTGTGTGTGTGATCAGATGTTATTTATGCGTTTCCAGTCTTCATCCAATTTCGATGAAATTTTTCTTTTTTTTTTTTTTTGTTTGATAGATAGTTCTTCAGTGCTGGTTTTGAGTCCAAATTCTCTGGGAGAAATTACAACCTTGAAGGTGAAAATTGAAAAAACTGATTTCTTTTGAACTTTGCACAAAAATCAAAGGCAGAATATAATGTCTGTATAAAAAAAAAAAAAATGTACAATCAATTTAGAGCGTTGAAATCTAATGCAAAGGATTATTAAATTTATAAAAAAAAATTATATTCTAAATAAAAATTATTGTATATTATTATTATTATTATAACAGTCCATAGAAGAGGTTCCTTCCTTGCATGTTTGAGAACACAAAAATGACCCTTTTCAGTGTCATCCCCACCATTCAAATATAATATGTTTCAATCTAAATTTAGATACTTTTTTTCATTTTACCTGAAGCAAGGCAATAATGCCACTAAGATGCAGGGGGTTACTGAAATTTAAGGAAAAATGAAAGATGTTCAGAAAAAGAACAATAAAAGAATAGAAATCAGGAAGACAAAGATGTTGATTGATGTTGCATTTAATTTTTTTTGAACATTGCAGGGAAGCTAATGTATCCACTAACAATGTCTAAGTAATAAAAATCTGCCTGATTAATAAATTTAAAAATCAATTCCTTTCTTTTGAAATTGTTTTGTTTACATTAGGAAACTGAACAGATATATTTATTTCAAGAGTCGGATAAAGATCTGTGCTTAAAGGCACTATTCAGACTTTGCTTGACTATCAACATGCTTCATAACTAATAAAAATCTGTCAGATTAATAAATAAAAATTCCATTCCTTTCTTTAGAAATATATATAGTCATCCACATACAAGCCTGTTTCACTGTATCACAGCTCATCAGTGTGGCTAAACATCTGATTGCTTCAGGCTGGTATCAAAACTCAACCGATTCCATATATATATATATATATATATATATATATATATATATATATATACACATACACACAAATGCAGAGTTAGTACAGATGGAATAACATTCTGATAACAAAAACACTACTCTTAAGAGAGCTCAATACAGAGTAAAGCAAACATCATTACTTGACAAGACACCAGAAGTGTTGAAACAAAATAGCTATTTTTTTATAGATGTTATAACATGCATATATTATAATTTTTGAGTATATATATATATATATATATATTGCAGAAACAGCAGATATTTTTATATATAGTGTGCAATTTTAAAAATATTTTTTTAAATATTAAAATAATATTAATAATATTAGATGAAAAGATTACTTAACTTTTAAATATCAATTTTATCCCAACTTCTGAAATTTTCAAGTGTTTTTTTTTTTTTTTTTTTTTTTAAACACAACTCCTTGAAGAATGGACATTACCAAGAAACTTCGAAGTCAGGGAAAACAACAAAAAAATTGATAATTAAAATTAAGCAATCTTTTATATATTATTAATGCTCTGTTTTAATGTTATTTTAATATTTTATATTGAGTACTATATATATATATATATATATATATATATATATATATATATAGTACATAATATTAAAATAATATTAAAAAACAGCATTAATATATATATATATATAGTACATAATATTAAAAATAATATTAAAAACAGCATTAATATATATATATATATATATATATATATATAATGTTTTATTTTAATATTTAAAAAAATATATTTTTATAAATATATATATATATATATAAAATATTTTATTATTTATTTAAAAAATATATATATATATATATATATATATAAAATATCTGCTGTTTCTTAAATCTTATTTTTATATATATTCTTTCTTTCTATGCTAAATTTTGTTCCATGCTAATACGTGAAGTCTAAAGGACAAATTGTGTGAGTAATATTGAAATAATTGCTTGTATTTACCAAAATACATGTGCTATGTCTGAAAGGAAATGTCTGTAGTGCATTTCACCTGGTGTGTGCATATATTCCTTCTACAAGAGAAAAAGAATTATTTATGCTTGGCCTTTTCTTCAATGGTTTGTAGTATCTAATTTCAAAAAGAATTGTTACAGTTCCCTATACTTTCCACTTCTACCTTTGTCTTAATGAGAACATGAATCATTCTTACTCATAGTAAAAGGTATTACCTCAATTTTTTTTTTTTTTTTTTTTTTGTTATATCTCTGTATTTTATATTCTAACTTTGGAAATATTTGTCCATTACTCTTTAAATTTTCTGTTTCTGTTAAAAAGAAAAATAGAATTAGAGAATAAATAACTGAATCATTGTTTTAAAATGCCTGTTAGGTTTATAACAATGTTTTACTTTATTATATTTTCATTCTTTTTAAGGCTTTTTTTTGTTTTTTGTTTTTTTTTGTTCCATGAACTGATTTTTGACAAGAAATTTTTGTCCCATTTGCCTCCAAATATATGGCAAACCTGACTAATAGACACAGGTAATTAGACACAATGACGATGAAATGAAAAATGTTGACAAGATTTACATACAAGGAAGACAAAAAGAAAATTTTGCTTCTCTATAGCAAACTTAAAACACACAGATTATCACTCTCTCTTTTACTCTTTCCTCTCTCTATTTTTTAACCTTCTCACTCTCTTTTTTATTCTTTCCTCAATATTTTTCTCTCTCCTCCCTTTTACTCTTTCTCTCTTTTTCCCTTTCACTCTTTCCTCAATATTTTTCCCTTTCTCTTTCCCGATATTATTTTCTCCTCCCTTTTCCTTTCGATATTATTATTCTCTCGTCCCTTTTACTCTTTCCTCGATATTCTTCTCTCTCCTCCCTTTTACTCTTTCCTCGATATTCTCTCCTCCCTTTTACTCTTTCGATATTCTTCTTTTCCCTTTCACTCTTTCCTCGATATTCTTCTCTCTCTCCCTTTATTCTTCTCTCTTCCTTTTTCCTTCGATATTCTTCTCTCTCTCTTCCCTTTTACTCTTCCTCGATATTCTTCTCTCTTCCTTTTACTCTTTCCTCGATATTCTTCTCTCCTCCCTTTTACTCTTTCCTCGATATTCTTCTCTCCTCCCTTTTACTCTTTTTCCTCGATATTCTCTCTCTCTTTTCCTCCCGATATTCTTCTCTCTCCTCCCTTTTACTCTTTCTCGATATTCTTCTCCTCCTTTTTACTCTTTCCTCGATATTCTTCTCTCTCCCTTTTTTTATTCTTTCTCCTCCCTTTACTCTTTCGATATTCTTCTCTCTCCTCCCTTTTACTCTTTCCTCGATATTCTTCTCTCTCGTCCCTTTCACTCTTTCCTCTATATTCTTCTCTCTCCTCCCTTTTACTCTTTCCTCGATATTCTTCTCTCTCCTCCCTTTTACTCTTTCCTCGATATTCTTCTCTCTCGTCCCTTTCACTCTTTCCTCGATATTCTTCTCTCTCGTCCCTTTCACTCTTTCCTCGATATTCTTCTCTCGTCCCTTTCCTCTTTCCTCGATATTCTTTCTTTCCCTTTCTCTATTCTTCTCTCTCTTCCCTTTCTCTCTTTTTCCTCTTTCCATTCTTTCTCTCGTCCCTTTCACTCTTTCCTCGATATTCTTCTCTCGTCCCTTTCACCTTTTTCTATATTCTTCTTTCCTCCTTTCATTCTTCCTCGATATTCTCCTCCCTTTACTCTTTCCTCGATATTCTTCTCTCTCTCCCCTTTCCCTTTTCCTCTATATTTTCTCTCGATCCCTATTCTTCCTCTATATTCTTCTCTCTTCCCTTTCACTCTTTTCGATATTCTTCTCTTCCTCCCTTTTACTCTTTCCTCATTCTTCTCTCTCCTCCCTTTCACTCTTTCCTCTATATTCTTCTCTCTCTTCCCTTTCACTCTTTCCTCGATATTCTTCTCTCTCGTCCCTTTTACCCCTTGCCCAATATTTCCCATCTTTCCGCTTTTTCACTCTTTTCTCTCTTACTCCTTCATTTTTCTTTCTCCTCTCTCGCTTTTTTACTCCATACTCTATATTTGCCTGCCTTCTTTCTCTCTACTCCTTTCTTAATAATTTTCTCTCCCTTCTCTGCCTTTTACTCTTTCCTCAGTATTTTTCCTCCTCTCTTTTACAACTTCCTTATTTTTTTATGCTTTCTCTCTTACTCTTTCAGCCCAGTAATTTTCTCTCTCTAACTTACTCATTATTTTTCCCTCTTATTCTTCTTCTCAATATTTTTCTGCCTTGCCCTCTCTCTCTCTCTCTAATTTTGTTTGGCTTTTTAACTTTCTTATGATATTGCTTTAAATTTTTTTTTGTTTAGTCAACTAGGTCATGAACATTTATATTTTTATCTTCATTTACTAAATCTTTTCTTTTGTGTTATTTTTTATTCTTTCTCATCTATTCCAATTTTATCCATCCCCTCTGATTCTCCATCAGTCTTTTATCTTTTAATCTTCGATTCTTCACTTTTTCTTCTCTTATAATTCTTTGTATTCTTGTCTTTCATTATCTTATGCTTCCTTCATTTTTTTTCCATATTCCATTCAAATTTTCTCTAATTCATCATTTTTTACTCAGTTCAATGAAGTCCTATGAGAGAAAACACGTCACATGCAAACTTTTTTCCACTTTGTCATACATCTTTCCTCCAAAAATGTTCATGATATATAAAAATGTACAGGGTACAATGGGTAAATTTTTGTCATTTTATATTTTTAATTTCACACATGCACAATGTTTGTTTTTGATTTTGTCAACTGCACAGTATAGTAGGGTCTGTTGGGCACCATCTATGAGAAAAACAGCACCATGACACAATTCACTCCATCAGAAATTTGGAAACAGAATGCTGTACTGCTTAGCAGTTACACTGGAAGCCTCAATAGTAATATTTCAGGGTATTTGGGTGTCAATCTGAGGACAGTGCAAAGAATTTGGAAAGAGTTGGATAAGTCTAATGGTGATTACAAAGGTACAACAGCTAGGAAATCTCACTCCTGGATTTGTTGGTGAGTGCTTCAGTCTCAACTTGGAAACCTATATCAAGTGCCTTAAGAAGATGTAAGTGCTGCCCTGGATCAATAGGGTGGCTACTGGAAGACCCTGTGTCTGGCAACCGGACTCTGCACCATGCTACACGAGCAGGAAAACCCAGTCATGGCTGTCAGACAATTTCTGCGACCACATCACCTGTTACATCTGGCCACCTAACATCTCAGACTGCAACCCCTTATTATGCGTGGGGTGCAGTTGAGTGAGAGGCTAACAAAACTCCTTGTAACACCAAAGCTGAACTGAAGGCAAGGATTATGGCAGCATTCACTAACTTAAACAAGGAGACCATCCACAAGAGTTGCAGGAGATTCTAGAGTCATCTGGAGGCCGTGGTTGAAGCCAATGGTGATTTAATTGAATAAATTTACTCTTTAGTATTTCAAAATATTTTTCTGTAATTTTGGTAAATATATCTGTTAAATTGAGATGTCGGTGTCATTTTTCAGTTTTGCATAATTTAGATGACAATTTAACCATCGCACCCTTTTGTGTGTGTGTGTATATATATATATATATATATATATATATATATAATTGAATGTTAGAATTGTAATTTTTATTCATTCTCATCTTGCCTGGATAAGATATATATATATATATATATATAATAATATATATATATATATATATATATATATAATATATATATATATATATATATATATATATATATATATATATATATATATATATATATATATATATATATATATATATATATATATATATATATATATATATAATATATACACCTAAGTATAGGATTGGTGTATACGGAATAAATTCCAATAACCAACAATTACTATTCTTAAAAGACTGCTCAATACAGAGTAGAGCAGATATAATTATTTATTTAAAAATTATAACATAAATGTTATAAAATCACTACAAATAACACATTTATGTTATAATTTATATATATTATTACGCACACACTACAGTTCAAAAGTTTGAAGCCACCCAAGAATTATTAGCATGGGGTGAACTTGACAGAAGAGTGAAAAAAAATGAAAAAGAGCTCTTAGAGTCATTGAAAAAAGAATGGAATCAATTATGAAACTTATATTTTGAGAAACTTTTGCAATGAATGCCAAAAACTTGTACTGCAGTAATCAAGGCTAAAGCAGGATATTTTGATGAGACCAAAATTTAATCATAAAATTTTTTTTTTTCTTTTTGTCATAAAATTTCTAATAAAAATTCATGTCCTTTTTTTTTTTTTTTAAACCATGTATAATAGTTTTCTCTTATTTAAAGTACAAAGCAACTACTTTTTCAGTCAATTTAACAAAATTAACAGGGGTTGCCTCAAACTTTTGAATAGTACTGTGTGAGATATATATTAAAATCAAATATGCACTAAATCCAACAATGAGAAAATAAGGAACAAATAGGTAATGTTTATAAATTCAATATATTTTGAAATTTTTGTTAAATAAAAAAAAACTTGAAGTTTAACTAGAATATAAATATATATATATATATATATATATATATATATATATATATATATATATATATATATATATATATATATAAAAATTTAGTCTTTCTAATATTCTTACATTTTACCATTTGGTGGGAATAAAGGAGAGTAAAACTTGAACTTGACTGGGATCTGAGTTCTCCTTCAAGCTGATATCCATTACACCACAACATACATGCAATATTTAGTATAAAATTGCTTGGTAGCATCTCAGTATAGCATTGATAATAACATCTTCAAATAGACATTTATTAAGAATAAATATTCAATATAAAATTGCTTATTCTGGTTGGAGTTGCTTTCATCCACAATTGCATAACACAATCATTGAACATCATTCAGGGAGAAATCTTCAGTTTTGACACACAAACTAAGTCTTTATGTTTGAGTTGCAGTTTTTTCTTTCTTTTTAAATCAGAGAGCATAATATGCCAAAAATGTTGCTTATTTTCTTCCAATGTCAATGTTAGAAAAATTACATCAGCTGTTTTTATGTATAAAAATACATCTATTATAACAAAACTATATGACAGCTGTCACAATACAAAGGTGATATTTTTTTTTAACACAGTTAAAACCAAACACTCATAATGCTGTCTAATAAGAAAAATAGTTTTGTTACTTTATATATAAGGTATGTAAAATTTCTGAGTGCTCCTTAATAAAAATATAAACTGAAAACTTTTCTTTTTTTTTTTTTTTTTTTTTTTTTTTTTTTTAGTTAGAAACTTCAGTAAACAGTTAATAGTTCATGTCAAATACATATGAATGTTTTTAAAATAGGATATAAAATTCCAACAGTTTTCAAGAAATTTGACAATGGAAAACATTTCATTGAAAATAGATTTGATTATGCTTTTGCCATTCTAAAAGAAATGTGTACATTTGTATATATGTGTACTTTTCCCTAAGCTGACATTTCTCATGATTAAAGAAGGAAGTACTAATTATTCATTATTTATACACAATACACAAATACATATTACTTTCTTTTGGTTTTTGATCTGATGAAGTCTAGAAAGGAAAATGCATAATCAAATCTATTTTCAATGAAATGTTTTCTATTTGACAAGTTTCTTAAATACATATGAATATAAATATGATTTTATATTAATGGCTGAAAAGTTTAGCAAACACTTAATAGTTCATGTTTAGGAATATGTGAGTGCATATTTGAATACATATGAATATAAATATGATTTCATATTAACTTAAAAACTGATTTTACAGATAACGAGACATTGTAATTTGGGGAAAAAAATGTGCTTCAAATTTTTTTAAGTGGTTTTTCAAGTATTATTTCAATTAAATGAACAAATTATATTTTTTTAATCTCACTAAAACAAATTTTAAATTAAAAATAATTAAAATACCAATGTACCCAATAAGAATATTGAAATATTAATATATCTATCATTTTTATTATGGAATTGAAGTAATTTTAGTAACTTTCTTTATTTACATGATGTGGTATAAATGCTATCAAAAAATTTCAAATGAATTCTATTTCTAAATGTTTGGTCATTACATTATTGTTTGATACTTGCCCAACAATGTATACTATTTATTTCAAAGTGTTTTATTATTTACTGGTAACAATGTCTATAGAAATTTAAAAAAAAGTATATAATTGAGCAACATGAAAACTGATAGACTCCACTTGAGACTTGGAATCGATAAAATGTTTATCTATAGGACAATCGATCAATACAACAATTTCCTCCATCAAAGACAGACCAAGACCAGGATGTCTTCACACCTCCAGAATGCCAGAACTCATTAAACAGGCATGTGAAAAAGCTATGCTGAATCTGAGAAAGTCAGTGAGAAAATTAGAACATTGGAGAGAACCATGTACAAACTATATTGAAATGATTTAGAGATAGCTTCTTTTAGTAGCCATGATGGCAAAGAGTTTTCAAAGAAGTAAGCAGTTTCTGAAATAGATTTGTGATGATTTTCACTGTTAAACAGACTTTTAATCATCAAAATTGTTGTTCTTGCAAAAAATCATCAATCAGTTCCAGTCCCTTCAAGAAAATGCCTCAGAAACTAGAAACCAGCATCAGTTATTATTTGGGCAATTATTACAGAAAGAGGGAAACTATATAAAAAGGACATCCTGGAAGATATAATCAAACTAAAGGTACAATGCCACTTATGGTGATAAGCACCAGACACTTCAACAAGATGGAGCGATGAGCCATACTGCTTGTGTAACAGTGGTGCAGAGACGAGTATTCTGGTTTCATCACTAAGAACAAATGGCTTCCCTCATAACCAGACATCAATGCTCTTGACAATTGTTTATGATCAGTTCTTGAGAGTGATACCTGTTCTACTCCTCAAAACAATCTTGAAGCTCTAGAGGCAAAATTGAAAAGATTAAGGGACAAAATACCCATGAAAACTGTGCATGACACCATCAAAGACTTCAGTATATGGTCAACAGCTTTAACAGTTTCTCCACATGCTTATCAGCAAGAGAAATAGTCCAAGGTTCAAGCTACAAACAAATACAAAAGTTTAAATATCTAAAATGTGTTTTAATAGATGATGAAAAAGTGGAACAGGAATTTTAAAACATATTGAAATAACAATATACGTTCCAAAATCTAAGCAAAGTATTAAGGAATAGAAGAATTTCATTAGCAAGAAAGGAAAAAGTTCTGAACTGCTATTTCAGTCCTATATAACAGTGAAGACTGAACAATTTCCTCACATGAAGAAACAATTTGAAGAAATGAAGGTAGGGTTCTACAGAAGGATACCGAGATTACAATAGAGCATGTGAGTAACAAGGGCTTTAATAGAAAAATGGCTACAAAAAGAGCATCTACAGAAAGTGACATTTCCAGAACATAATGAGTTAAGAGGGCTTAGGGAATTTAATACTCACATGGCAAATTGAAAGCAAAATATATAGGGATGGGGACTTAATGAGCTTGTGTAGATGGATGGCAGAACATGTAGAAGGAAAGACAGTAAAAAGACAAACATTGCTAAGAGCTACAAAGGATAGGAAGTTGTGGAGAGCCATAATCACTCATATCTGAAGGGATACTGCACATAGTAGCAGCTGCATCATTGTTTATTATGCAAGATTAAAATAAATATCTATTGAAGTATTAAACATAGCTTAATGCAATAATCTGAACATAAATATCATGAAAATATCATAAAAACAGCAGCTGCATCAATAATTATCATACAAGTTAATTAAAGGAAATATCTATTGAAGTATTAAGCATAGCTTTATGCAATAATCAGGACATGTCACTAGAACAGTTTTAAGCAATAAATATAAAAGGTTCGTTGAACAGTCAGAATGTCAATACATGCTGGTTACTCAAACAATCTTGTATTGTTTTCAGTATTGCATTGTTGTATTGGTCTTAATTTATATTGAAACCATGGCATTCAGAATGAATGCAATCTTATTAATAACTCTTAATACTGCCATATAGTCAATAGGTTTTTATAGAAGCTGGACTGAATTATAAAGCAGGAGTGCTATTGATTTCCTCTTGAAATTATGAGAGATCTATAAGAGCATAAGATTACTCATTGATGAGTACTTAAATTAGAAGTTTTTTTTTCCTGTAGAGCTCTTAACTGATGGAGATAACATTTCTCCTTTTAAGTGGTACATTACAGATTATTCTATGTCTAAAGATTTCAGAGTATATCTTTGACAGGACAATATGAAAAAAATAAAAGGAAAACTTAGCTGATATGTTTCGTCGTCTGAAGGCATTTGTCTTGATAAAATCCCTCAGAGGACGAAATGCTTCAGCTAAGTTTTCCTTTTGTCTTTTTCAGCTTATATATCCTACTCATATATATATATATATATATATATATATATATATATATATATATATATATATATACTTTTGTATGAAATTAACCTTTTGCTATAAACAAGTGAGAAAACTATTAAAAACTGGTCAACATGTACATCTCACTTAACACGTATTAAACGGATTTTGTTATACAGCTCAAATCACAAGTAAATCCTAATTTGTTAGTATTTTTAAAATTTTTTAATTACTATTAATCAATAATTTAATGTATATTTTTTAAAATAAAAATATTGAAATGTGTCTATAACAGTGATTCCCAATCTTTTCTTGACCATGCCCCACCTAAGCATCTCTAAAATATACTTTATCCAAATAGTGAACTCTTATTCATTGGAGGAAGCCTAAAATGCCATTGATTTGGTTTAAACAAATGATTCTCAATGTGGGGTGCATGGTAATATTCTGTGGGGGCATATGTAGGATGTGCACCCTTCAGCTTAATATACCAACAGAATAAGGGGGCAATTTGAGAATGAGAATTTAAAAGTGAATCTTTTTTTTTTTTTTTTAGTGAGCTCAAATTTTATTTTGAAATTAGTCCATGATTAAAATGATCAAAGTATATTACAGAATAAGCTTTCATTCAAATATTTTATATTTCTGCCTTTCAGTTCTCTATTACAGGTTTTGAAATTATATATATATATATATATATATATATATATATATATATATTTAACTGTCTTTTTCTTTTTTAATTATTCTCTTTCATGCATGCCATGCTCTTTAGAGGCCTGTTTAGAGACAAAGTTAATGGAAATAAATTGTTTTTATATATATGTATGTGTGTGTAATGAATACAGAATCCTTTCTTTTATAATTTATTTCATGTATTTACATTGATACCTTCAGACAAGAGTTTTCTTAATAAATAGTCAATTACTCCAGACAAAAGGAAAAGAAGAAAAAAGGTTTTAATATTAAAAGATGAAGAAAAAATAAAAAATTTCAATAGAAAGTTTTTAAAAATTTCTTTTGGTGGGGGAGAAGGAGAGAAAGAAGGAAGAATTAAACAAACTGATAGGGTGACCTGCAAATGATTTTTCTTTCAAGACTGGAAAAGTTAAACAGTGCAAGGGAGAGGAGCAATCAGACTCAAAGTAGATATATTGAATTGCCTTGTCATTTAGCAAACCCATCATCATCATGTTATAATCATCACAATTAAAATTAATAATGATAATAGTATTTGTCATCAATAAAATGAAAGTAAGTTAAATAAAAATTAAAAAATATATTAAAAAAATATACATAAAAAAATATTAATTAATAAAATTAATTAAAATTAAGGGATAAATAACAAACAATTTTAAGGAACTAAAAAAACTTAAAATATTTATTATATTGTTCTGTTCTTACATTTAACTCTCTTTGGATTAATGTCCTCCCCTCCTTGAATTATCTCTACTAACTATCAATTGAGATTGATTGTCTCACCACAATTTCCTTTCTAATTTCTCCTTTGTAACTCTTAATAAATTTTGTCTTTTTGTTATCTCTCTTAAACTCTATACTGCCATTCATTTACTCAAGCTTGCTAAGTAGGTTATTCATTGTATTCTTTTGTCCCTCTTATATTCAGTCTATCCTGTGACTATCAAATTTTCCAAGCACTTCTGATTTACCATCTTGACAATTTTGCTAGGTATGGAGGTATCAACTCACCTGACAAACTAAGTAGTTTACTTAACACCAGGTATGCTGATGTTTTTTGCATTATTTCACATGGTCCCATCTCTCCTATGGCAGCACAACATGCTGTGTCCTTCAACAAATCTAACCACCTCTATGGAACTCTGGTAATGTTTGTCAGTTTTATTTTGGTTGGATTTCCCAAGTTGAGGCCATACTCCACAATTAGTGCCATGTCTCCATATGAGCATCTCACATACTGCCTTCGTCTTCAGGTGTGCCTTTCTGGTTAAGGTGTCATTGATCCAGTAGTATGCACATGCAGAATCAGTGACCAGATGCAACACTTTCACATTCCACTGAAGAGTCAAATTTATGCTCTTTAACGTTGCATTGAGCTCAGCTAAGTTAATATGTTGAACGTCACCATTACAACAAAGCCAGCATGCATCCTCCACAATGTCTCAACTGAGAAAAACACTGGTGTTATATAGCTCTCCCAGTCCCAGATCCATGCTGACTATTGGCTAATACCTGCCTAGTATTGTTAATAAACAAATTGTCAGCGCCACCTACTCTAAGTAGGTCTTCTATCAACAGCCTATAATGGAAGAGGACGCAACTCTGGGTGCTTACAGCACCACATAACCAACGCAGAGTTTTTTTCTCAGGCTGACCCAATTCCTTGTTACAAGTACTTCCCAGATATTTAAATTATTGTCCTTGTTTTATTTTCTTATCTTCAATTTGTAATTTGCATGTTTAGCTGTTCCTTTTCCTAACAACCATGCATTCTATCTTTTTGAAATTGATGCTTAGTCCTTTTCCCCCTCGCGCCTGGTGTCCAGTCCTTTTCCCCCCTCACGCCTGGTGTCCAGTCCTTTTCCCCCTGGTGTCCAGTCCTTTTCCCCCGCCTGGTGTCCAGTCCCAGTCCTTTTCCTTCCCCCCCTCGCGCCTGGTGTCCAGTCCTTCCCCCCCCCTGGTGTCCAGCGCCTGGTGTCCAGTCCTTTTTCCCCCTCGCGCCTGGTGTCCAGTCCTTTCCCCCCCCCCTGGTGTCCAGTCCAGTCCTCACGCCCCCCCCCTCGCGCCTGGTGTCCAGTCCTTTTCTTTTTGCTTTTCTTCACTTCTTTCTGTAGGAGTTCTTGTAGTTTCCTTTCTGTGTCTGCTATCAATACTGCCTCACCTGCATATCTTATGTTATTGATTGTGGCCGGCAATAATGAATTCTGGTAGAATTTCTAATTCTGCCAGAATCACCTCACTGTATCAATTGAATATGTCTGGTGAGGAGACACACCCTTGTCTTACACCCCTTTCTATTTTTAATGAATATATGTTTAACGAATGAGATTTCATGACATTTTTCATTATCTTTTGTAAAGGAATTATATTTAGTTTTTTCCGTTTAATTAGTAAATATATACATTTGTAAGATTTCTATACAAAAATTATATTCATCTAATAAAGAAAAATTTCAGATTTTAAATATTTCATGCATGTTAAACATTAACAATGAACTTGTGCCATTTATATTCAATCTGAAATTTTCAGGTTTAATTCTTAAAGCAGATAAGTAAATTTAACATTTTAAGAAAACAGAAAAAATACTTTAATGCAACAAAGTAAAAATTTGCATTCAGATATTAAAAAAACAAACTAACTCAAGTTTTCTTGATATTTTTATATAAACAAGTACCTCGTCTCATTGTTATTTAAATTATCTCCCTTTCATAATTTGTTTTTCTCCTTGATTTGGCCAGAGTATTACACCAGATTTTGCCATGCATGTCAATGTTTTTAAAATAAAATTTAACCTTAATCAATCCACGTAAAATTTTTGGGATATTAAGTTTAAACTTATGATAATTGTTTTTATTATAATATTGATAAAAACTTGTTTTATAGTACAAACCAAGATCAACAAAATTCTATTCATAAATAAACCCAAGTGTTAAAGGCCATAGAAAACTTTTTGTAAAAGGTTATTATTATGCAGTCAATTAGGATCATTAAAACACATACTTAGCAGCTGCAAATCAGCGCTGGCTGATAGTAAGTATAGATGGTGCCATGATCAGATATTAAGACATAGCAGAAGTTGCTAATACAGCCATCCGCACAAACACATTTAATACAAACAGGAATGTTATAAATTTTATTAAAGCCGGCATGAAACTGAACACAAAGAAAATGATTGTATCCAATTGTCTATCATGCGCAACAGACTGGGAACTTAGAGTAGATATAGGCAAAAGATTAAACTTATCGGATCACATCTTCAAGACCCTATTGCGTCCAGACTTAGTCCTCTTTTCAAATAAGTTAAAGAAAATCATTATGTAGGAATTAAGTCTGTTATGAGGACAATGCAGAAGAATCAAATGAACGGAAAAAACTAAGATATGATGAATTACTGGAAAATTGTAGTAGCAATGGATGGAAGGCAAGCTGCAAGCCAATTGAATTAGGCACAAGGGGTTTTGTAGCAAAATCACTAGTCGGCACCCTGACAGATATTGGGATAGTAGGAACAAAAAGACGAAAGGCTATCCATACTATTACTGAGACAGCAGAAAAAAACAGCTAAATTTTTATGGCTAAAACGAGCCAAGTGCACGCACAAGCAATCCATAAAAAAAAAAGGTCAGAGATAGATGGAAACAACATTTTTTTTATATATATTTTTTTTTGTAAATTATTTTACGCAGTGTACTTTTATAAATCTTTAATTGTATATTATTTTAATGTAAATAGTATAAAGATATGTCACAGCTTATAACTAATTATAAATACTGTATTTGGTTTGTAAATATGTATAGTCAGAAAATTAGTTGTAGTTTTTTTTTTCTTTTTGTACATCTCCCAATTTTAACTTATTTTTATCTAACTAATCTATTTTATGTTTATTCATTATCATTATTTTATTTTTATTATTTTTTTTCTTACTTAATGCTTAAATGTTGGTAGGGCTATATTGCATATTAACTGTGATTTCGATATATTAACATCTGGAATAAAGACACAACATTGTAAAGTTCAAAAGGGGTGTTTTTTTTTGTTTTTTTTTTATAGTTAATTTCCGTTCTTTATTGCTTAATAGAAGTCTTTAGATTTCCATTTTATCTCTTTTTCCTTTTCTGTCACCAACTATAGGACTATTGTGATGATGATGATCATCACACACACATACATACATACATACATACATACATAGACAAATTCAAATTATACAAGAAGCATTGATTGGATAATAAATCCACACTGCTTTGTAATAGATAATTTATAAATCACAGTTATGCGACAATTTTAGAATCGCCATATTTTCGTATAGTAGATTTTTTTCACTTTTTGGAGAATCGGATCCCAAAAGCGTTCTTAGCTTAGTAAATATTTTTCAGGAAATATCAGCTTCTAATTGGTCAATAAACACACAAGTGGGCATTGCAATCCACCCATGCACAATATATTTTTCCAGCGCATGACTAAGTCAAGTTTCCCATCAAGGCACTCTGATCCTGTCACATGATTACGTTATCTATAAAAACAAACACAAGTAGTCCCAGAGAATTATCATCTTGACCTTGCAGTCAGACGTTAAAGAACATTTCACACATTCACATATGTACAAACTCTTAGGAACTTCTCCAAAATACAAACATTCACACACACGCACACACACACACAAATATTCACACACAAACACAATGTTAACTGTCTATGTGCTTTGTAATTGTTTAATACATATATTTGTTTATATATATCGGTCTTGTTTGTTTGTCTTCCTTATCTTCAGTTGGACTTAATCCAAGTCCAACATTCTATTGTAGCTGGACCTTCTAGCAGGAAATATAAACGCACAAGTTTTCTTTACATCTACAACCCCACCTCCCCCGTCCTCTACATAATGGTGACTGCCAACGGGATTTTGTGAAGGAAAGCCAATAGTCAACATAATGGGCCACTACACTATATGTGAATTATAATTATTTGTGACTAATTCTTGTTAAATGACTTACTTAGCAACATTGTTCACCCCTCTTTCCACCTTTTTTTTTTTTTTTTTTCATGTAACAATCAAAATCGTAAATTTAATTTTATTTGTTAATCTCACGCGTTAATCAACAGATTTAATCAAATTTTCTAAGTTTACTCATTCAACTTGTTTTAAACGACATTTATTTTTATATTATTTTCGCTTTAACACGCTGATTAAGTCGTAATTTATTTATTTTAATCATAAAAACAATGTAAATTTCTAATTATTTTAAGGTTGCATCTTTTTTATTTATTTTATTGTTTTATTTTTTTCTTTACTAACAGTAATTATCAGCTGTGGAAATGAAACTTAAAAAAAAAAGTAAAAAAGAAAGAAAAACAAAAACACATAATTACCTTCCGAGTATCTGATGGGTATCCACATGAAAAAAAAGAAAAAGTAAAAAATCCCTCGTAAACAACTTAAATAGAGCTCACACCATTGCAATTGGTTGTTGGTCAACTTCCAATCAAATGTATGACAGAGGGATAGGGTTTGCCTAATATAAGTCAGTGTCTGCAGGCTGTTAATTTAGATGGTGGGGTCGCATCAGAGACTGATCAGCTCTGATGGGCAGGGGGCGACTTGGTGAGGGGAGTATGATGTTTGAAAGACCCGAAATTGCCCAATGACCCAATTCAGAACCTCACTGACAACACCCTCTAACGCTAAAGAGCATATATTCAAAGTTACCAGCAATTAATTTTTGGAGAAAAAAAATATTACCAGCAACACATTTTACCAACAATAAAAATTTTCAGCATTAAATAACCCATTGAGGTTGATATGCCATAAAACAAACCAAACCAACTTGAAATATTTTCTTGCTGTTAAATTCACTTTTGCTTGTAGCCATTTTTATATTCCCCAAATCTATTTAAGATACACATAAAGCCATTTTTTCTTTTTCTTGATTTTATCTTGCCAAATTTTTAAATTGCTTTGTTATTTTTTGTTTTTTTTTTATGATTTCTGCTCAGAATTTAAAAAAAAAATTCACTGTTGTGTTCTCATCACCCAGTAACTTTTCAACATCTTATTTCTCTTTTGAGATTATATCTTTCTTATGACTCATGACAATATTATGCATAGCTGAAATAAGAAATAAATATCAATGAGTGTGTATATATATATATATATATATATATATATATATATATATATATATATATATATATATATGGCCTTGTTCAAATTGTTGATCACACTAGATAATATGCTCTCTCTCAGAAACTGTAACTAAGGTCTGTTCAGCATAGTTGCAGTATAAAGCACACACAGACTCTGTGGGCGTTGAGCAAACACAAATGTGCCTGAATGAGTGTCTACAATAGGGATTAGCTAGCTCTAGTAGACGAGTATCCTCAAAAACAAGTGACTGCCTAATATATATATATATATATATCTCGTTAAAGTAACAAATCTATTGGTATATAATCGAAGTGGATCCTAGTAATATAAAATGTTAAAACTGATCCACAAGCAGAGCTCAATATATTTATTATTACAGAACAAATAATTAATAAACAATAAAATCCCAAATCACCTCATATTGGAATAGCCTATTTCAGTAGACAAAGATATCGATCATCTGCCCTATCAACCCCAGTAATCCGAATTCAAGAAAGACATTCAGATTACTAACACAAAAACAGAGAATGTCTCATATCAAGAATATTTAACATTGAACATAAGGAAAAAATTAATTATTTTTAATAATATGTGGAAATCTCCGCTTTTACCTGAAGACTGTCGCGAGACCAGAAACACGTGTCATAAAATTATGTTAAAAAAAAAAAAAGCATAATATTTTTTTCTAAATAAATCCACATTATAACCAAAAACGTTTGCGGCACCTCTCTTCTCTTCTTTTTAATATACATACTTTTCTCTCGTTGGAACCACTACAACCTCTTTCTTTTATATATCTTACTTATTATAAAACGCAGATTGTGTGTGTGTGTCTGTACGTTTATATATTGGATCGGATTTCCAACATTTTTCAACCGATTTCAACAAAACTTCACAGGACTACGTAAAATTACCTTGCGGTGGTTCTGACAGTGCCAAAAATTGGAAAAATACAATTGTTTTTGCACA